ACAAATTGCCATATCTAATTAAGGCCCTTCTCTCTCTCCCAACCCCTCAATCCCAAGTCCAAAAGTCACCCTTTGTGGCCAATAGCGAACGAAGAAAATATCAAGTATACATTCATGTAGAAGTCAGTTTTAACATAAAGATTGAATAATAATCTAAATGCGTACAGAAACATTCTTATTTTATCCAATTAGAAACAACCTTTGATAATTGTTTACTACTAACAACTAATCGAGACTACACCTAAAATTATTACTGAAGAAAAAGAAATACCTCAGAATCTTATCTAACTTCTCAGCCTGTTGAAGCTGAACTGGGGTTTGTGTAACTCTTGATTCTCTTTTTCTTTTCCTCTTGTGCAGGGGACTTCCTCCGAGTTTTTCTCCAATAAAGTTTTATAAGCACTAATGGAAACAAGGGTTCCTAAACAACTTAGTGAAACAAGGTTTCCTAAACAATTTGCTACTGCGGATGCATTAGAAGTAATCTCAGAGTACTTAAGTTGTTGCTTCTCTAGATTATACCAAAAAAACTAGTTAGGTGTCTTTTGTAACAAAACTTCATGCCTACTGCTTGAATAGGCTAGAGGAATCATAGGACTTTCAAACCCTTTTGAGATGTTAAACAACTTAGTCCAGGTTCTCTTTTCTAGAGTGATAATTGTCTAGAGAGAGAAAGCAGTTTTTCCAGCCTGTACTCTGTGTCTTCGATGGCGCATTCCTACCGGAATTCGCCCGCTGTTTCTAGTTTTCGATCCCCGGTGAGCTCTAGTTCCTTGCCCACTGTTCGCCCAAGCTCAATTTCCACCAAATCGCCATCGGTGGAAATGCTCCGTGCGAAGTTGAATGCTGAAATTGAGTCGATTACAGGTGTTCCGGCGCACCCACTGCCCTCCGCCTCCACAGTCGTGCAGCGCTTGGCTACTCAAATTGATGCTCCGATAGCTCCAACTATTGCCCGAAATTGCCCATTTCTTGGGCTGATCTTGTTTCCGCTAATTCTAACACAGGTACTCTCTCTTATTATCCTCTTGTGTTATGTGATGGGAAGCTAGTGGTCAAACCCCCAAACTCTGTTTATGAGGATGGTGCCAAATCTTGGGAAGATTGTTTGGTAGGGGTTTTCTTGGGTATTTCTTCTCCAAACTATGGTGATATTGTGCACACGGTTAATAAGCTTTGGGGAAGAAAAGGGAAAATTGTAGTTACAGGGGTAGGGAACAACACATACCTGTTCAAGATTTCTGATCCTGCAACTAGGGCTTGGGTACTGCGATCAAAAATCCCTTGGCATGTGAATCATAAAATCTTGCATCTTCAACAATGGGAGCCAAACATTGAGTTAAGCAAGATAAAACCCACAAAAATGCCTCTTTGGGTAAAGATATGGAACGTACCTATGACTTTGTATACTCCTCATGGGTTAGCCTATATTGCAAGTGCAGTAGGAATACCTGTCTCTTTAGACAAAACTACAGAGCAGCGAGCCCACCTTAATTTTGCACAAGTTTGTGTGGAGGTTGATTTTGATACAGTTGGGACTCTTCTTGAGTCTGTTTTTGTTGATAAGGATGACGAATCTTCTGTTGAAGTAATGTTTGAATACCCATGGCTACCAGTTAAGTGTGAAAATTGTAAGAAG